GGACATGCGTTCGGTTGATTTGGTATGGAGCTTCATTCTAAGTTAACTAGCAGAATTAGAAAACTCATTAATACAATGAGACACTAATCAAATAAATTTGGCTTAAACCACACCAAAGCACAAACTTTAGGGTTAGGTGAGAGTACTTCTACAGTTAATAACTTTAAACATCGTAATAGCAACGCTCTTGGGATACAGCACCAAACTCGTCTTCTATACATTCGTACATCTAAACTTTAAGTGAGTACTTAGCGTCAAGGAAGCCATGTATGCATATTGATATTGGTACAGCTGTAACGAAGGTGCCCCATGATCACTTGCCTGGAGGCTATTACTGTTGACCCTTCTTCAGATGACGCAAGAGTGGTTTTGAAATGTATGAATTATATTTAGGTGTGCACCTACTTCTCAAAGAAGGCCTACGTTCTATTGCTAAAAAGTAGAAAGCATGAGGTAGTCAGTGTTTTGTTCACTGTGTGATGACCAGAATAACGGAACATTATTCACTGTTTGCTTATACATGCTTATTCATTTGACTCGTAATTACAGAGGAAACTGATCAAGGCACACAGACCGCCCAGGAGATGACATACAATCTACGACATAAACGTGCCATCTAGGAACGTCGGGGAGGTTAACTGTTCCCACAAAACGAAATACAAACAGAAACGGTAGTTACATTAATAAATATCAAAATGTTTGCCTCAGACATAAAAATCACACTGACACGTATTTGTTTTAGTGCACTAATTATAAGTTTGGCGCCCCACTTTAGCACTTTGCAAGGCGTGATTGGGGCTGTTTCGGGATGTCTGACACGAAACCTGAAAAGCAGGAAGTAAAAAGGAGGCGACAGAAGCAGCCGGGAAGACTATACGTGAAGGCGATTTTCACTGGATATCGCAGAGGTTTGAGGAATCAACACGAAAACACAGCGCTCCTCAAGATCGATGGCGTAAACACCAAGGATGAGACAGAATTCTACTTGGGAAAACGCTGTGCTTATATCTATCGCGCAGAAAAGTAAACTGTATTATCTTTTATCGAATTTGCTCTTAGGAAAAAGCAGTTTCCCCGCCGTCAGAAGCCCACGAAGGTCCGTGTTGTGTGGGGAAAAGTAATCAAACCCCATGGCCGCAGTGGCGCCGTTCGCGCACATTTTAAGCGCAACCTCCCAGCAAAAGCAATGGGTCATCGCATCCGCGTTATGCTCTACCCTTCGCGCGTGTAAATGTTCAATAAATATTTGGCAATGACCTATGCCTTGTCTACCCTAAGGCAGATTCCTTGGATGTTTGCCCATTGTATCGCTCTCTGGACCACTTATCAAGTCACACATTTCAGATGTCCATGTTCCACTCCTTAGGTCAGTAGTTTTGGTTCGGAATGTTATTTGCGGTCGTGAGTTCATACTCATTTCGAATATTCTACAGAATTTTCTTGACCCTGATCGCTTTTCACCTGCTGCGTCTGGTCTGCGACCACCCCAACAACCGATCTTACGTGGTTCAGATTGGAGATCCCGACTGTCGGTGTGGAAGTCAAATTTCCAGTTGTATGTGGCTTACGACGAGCGAGTTTGCACTTTTCTAGTCTTAATACATCTGCGCAATTATCGTACAGATGGTACTTGCTTGCGTCGCCTTTAGCATATTGAGTATCATTAGTATAACTTGAGAGTAAAGTAGGCCAACTGTCGAGTAAAAATGTGTGATATCTACTTTGCGTTCGCCTGTACTCTGT